AAAATATATTAGAATAATAGTTTTTTATTTTTTAAAAATATTTTTCTCATAAACACATTAAAATAATAATAATAATAATACAAAAAAATTAAACAAAAAAATTTAAAATTTTAAAAATCACAACCCCCTCTCCAGATAGTTTTATATGAAACAAACTTGTTTGCTACAAATATTCACTAGAATTTGTAAGCGCTCATCGAATGTTCCTCGCAAAGCTCTCGATTCGTGAATGAATTTGATCATAATATCAACCTAATTTTCACAATTTGATCAATTTTTTTTCCAAATTAGACATGTTTGGACGCTTGCTGGGATTATCCACCAATGTAAGCTCGGCTACATCAGCAAGTTTAAGAAGTGGTTCCACATCTCTCGGTAAAGGCACATTCCGGTCGATAATGGCAGCTGCCCTTCCCCTCCTTATCAAAGGCAATGCCCGCTCAACAATGCCCGGAGGCTCGCAATCTCTATCGTTCGATTTCCTTCCGTTTAACATCTTCAGCAGAACAATACCAAAATTATGTGCATCACTCTCCGTGTCTCCATTTACATCTCTGTCATTAGCACTTACAATCCCAAGATAAATAAATAAAAGAAAGCGTGTGATTGTGTACAGCTAAAAGGAAAGAAAAGAGAGATTGGCTGTATTTTTCAGGGCATGCGGCTACAAAACAAAACAGCAGAGAAAAATACAGAGAATGCGGTGAGAAGAACAAAGAAGATGGGAAGACTGAACACAGTCGGTTCAAGTCTTGATATGCAGCACTGATTCGCTATTAAATTGGGGTAATTTCTTACAAATATATTTCGGACAGTAACTCTTCATTTTATACATGATTAAATTAAATATTAATATACCCTTATGTTTTTATATTTTAAAAGTGTTTTTATAAAAAAAAAATATTTTTTATTTTAAAGTTATTTTAATATGCTGATATTAAAAATAATTTTTAAAAAATTAAAAAATAATAATATTTTAACACATTTTATAACAAAAACAATTATAAAAAATAATTATTACCGC